CAAATTTATTTGAGCATAAGCTTTCGTGGGCTAAAACCCACTTCATCAGATGCATGCGGTGGAAAATACTGTATGAAGTGGGTTTTAGCCCACGAAAGCTTATGCTCAAATAAATTTGTTACTCTCTAAGGTGCCACAAGTACTCCTTGTTCTTAAAGTAATTTAGAGATTCTTAGCTGAATTCTAAGGCTTTAAACTTTTAAGAGATACCTGAAATACTTTGTTTAGACTGACCTTCTGCTCAAGATCCCCTGCCTGCTGGCTGGCTACCTGTTTATAAATTCCCAGGCCAGAAGGGACCATCTGTCTGACCTCCTCTATAACACAGGTCATATAATTTCCCCAAAATAATTCCTAGAGCATAGCTTTCAGAAAAAAGATCTGATCTGAATTTAAAAATAGTCAGTGATGGGAGAGTCCACCATGACCCTTGCTAAATCCTTCCAATGGTTAGTCACTCTCACTGTTAAAAATATACACCTTATTTCCAGTCTGAATTTGTCTGGTTTCAACTTCCAGCCATTGGATTGTGTTATATGCTAGACTAAAGAACCCATTATTAAATATTTGTTCCTCATGAAGGTACTCAGACAGTAATTAAGTCACCTCCTCACCTTCTTTTCGTTTAGCTAAATGTATTGAGTTTCTTGAACCTATCACTACAAGGCATGTTTTCCAATCCTTTAGTCATTCTGCCGGCTCTTCTCTGAGCCCTCTTCAATTTATCAACATCCTTCTTGAATTGTGGACACCAAAACTGGACACATTATTCTAGCAATGGTCAAACCAGTGCCAAATACAGAGGTAAAATAACCTCTCTACTCCTACATGAGATTTCCGTGCTTATGCATCCACTGATTGCATAAGCCCTTTTGACCATAGTGTTAGGGCAGGTCTTCACTACGGGGGGGGGAGGGGGGGTGTCGATTTAAGATACGCAAATTCAACGTATCGCAGCCGACTTACCCCGCTGTAGGGACGGCGGCAAAATCGACCTCTGCAGCTTCCCGTCGACGGCGCTTACTCCCATCTCCGCTGGTGGAGTAAGAGCGTCGATTCGGGGATCGATTGTCGCGTCCCTACGGGACGCGATTAATCGATCCCCGAGAGGTCAATTTCTACCCGCAGATTCAGGTGGGTAGTGTAGACCTAGCCTTAGACTGGAAGGTCATGTGCAACTGATTATCCACTACAAAACCCAAATCTTTTTCAGAGGCACTGCTTCCCAGGATAAGAGTCCCCCACCCCGCACATTAGTATAGCGTACATTCTTTGTTCCTAGATGTATACATTTACATTTGGCCTTATTAATACACATATTATTTGCTGGAGCTCAGCTTACCAAGTCATCGAGATCACTCTGTATCAGTGACCTCTCCTTTTCATTATTTGCCACTCCGCCAGTCTGTGTCATCTGAAAACTTTATTAGTGATGATTTTATGTTTTCTTCCAAGTCATTAATAAAAAGGGCCAACCGGGACCCCACCGGAAACACACCCGTTCAGTGATGATTCCCCATTTACCATTACGTTTTGAGACCTAGCAGTTGGCCAGATTAAATCCACTGAATGTGTGCCATGCTAATTTTAGATTGTTCTAGTTTTCTAAATTAGCCTTTTGCCGTTTAATATTGCACCCCTCCCAGGCTAGTTCGCAAAGAGCCAACATGGGCATTTTCTTTGCCTACAGGAGGGAACAGAGCAAAGGGATGGGGATTCTTGCCACAGTAGGTCTCCTGGCTCCCCTATATGAGGAAAGAGCACCACCTTAACCTCTGCTATCCCTATCCCCCAGCAATAGTGGGGAGTATCTCAGCAACCTCAGCTGCCCCTCTCCCCACATCCACCTCCCAATTTCCCCTGAATGCCTTCCAGCTATGGGTCCTCACCCCATTTTTACCCGTGAACACTCCAAAATAAACATTTAGGAAGGGTGAAGGGATTAAAAAAGCATGAGAATCCCAAGTCATATGTTATAGCTTTATAGTTTATGAAAGAGTAATCTCTCGCAGATTCATACATTTACTACATCATTTTCTTAGGCTGCTGAATTACAGAAAAGCTGTGTTGTTCATGATTCTGCCAACTTCTAAACAACCTGAGTAAACATATCAGGGTGCTATCCAACTCCAGCATCTGTTCTTCGGTTAGTAAAAAAATCACAAATTGGTTTCGGAAGCCCACATGAAACCAAGGCAGCTTGGCTACTGCATTTCCTACTGACAAATAGGTTTTAGAGAAGTGCCACAGTCCTATCAGAAAACAAATTGCTGCATTCAGGGAACTACAGTGGAATGGTATATGTGCTTATAGCAGAAACAAAGCAGATCCACCAACTGACTTTGATAAGAACTTTTCCATTAATTTGTTTAAGTTTCACCAGTTTCATCGTTTAATTAAAACTGAGTTAAGTAGAAAAATACTCATTGGAAAATGGCTGTGGAAAAGGAAGAGGGCAATTTATTTATACTAGGCCAGATTGTGAGACCCTTTCTTGTTATGTAGTCATCAGTCGCAAATTGAGAAGTTGAGTTTCATTTCACATTTAAAGCAAATATTAAACCTCTTATGTCTGAAAAATAAACAATACACTCCTTAAACTTACACACTTATTATTTGAGTACAGAATGAATTTTCTGAGAATTTACCAGTAAATCTATTAACTCATGACTTAAAAAATTAATTAAAGCCTGGGTCCTTTAAGAAATTGAGCATGTGTTAGTCTTCCTTGTCCCAAATAATATCAATAATGGAATCACACAGATTCTTCAAATTTCTCATATATAGGGAAAAACCTTTAAAAATCAGTTTCATTTTTATCTGTGGCCAAAACACTACACACTGTTCCTTAATCATAATCTATTGGTTATTATGATGTCACTATAGGGTAGAGTTAAGGTTGTTTGTGCACCCTACTTGTACATTTCCATTCCTAACATGACTGAATTTCTTTTAAATATAGCCTTCATTCTGAATTTCCTGGGTTTGTAATGCTTAGTCATGGGAAAATTACAACATCCTTGCAATGTTATTTATCTTTAAGTTGCTGATGCATACTCTCAGTCTTCAAAAAGAAGAACAGGAGTACTTGTGGCACCTTAGAGACTAACAAATTTATTAGAGCATAAGCTTTCGTGGACTACAGCCCACTTCTTCGGATGCATACTCTGAAACATCTCAGTCTTCACTTATCTTAGATTTTTGTCTTGAAATATTTATAGGCAGTTCCACTGACTGCAGTGAATCTAATTAATTGCTCACTGATGGGAGTAAGGAGCCCATATTTTGATCTATAATGACATGAATTAATATTCTGACAGATTTCAGAGGAGTAGCCGTGTTAGTCTGTATCAGCAAAAACTACGAGGAGTCCTTGTGGCAACTTAGAGACTAACAAATTTATTTGGGCATAAGCTTTCGTGAGCTAGAACCCATTTCATCAGGTGCATGGAGTGGAAAATACAATAGGCAGATATAAATATACAGAACATGAAAAGATAGGAGTTGTCTTACCGGATGGGGGGGGTCAGTGCTAACGAGGCCAATTCAATTAGGGTGGATGTGGCCCATTTCCAATAGTTGACAGGAAGGGGTGAATATCAACAGATGGAAAATTACTTTTTGTAGTGCTAAGAGGCCAATTCAATCAAGGTAGATGTGACCCATTCCCAACAGTTGATAGGAAGGTACAAGTAACAACAGAGGGAAAACTAAATTTTTGTAGTGACCCAGCCACTCCCAGTCTTTATTCAGGCCTAATTTGATGGTGTCAAGTTTGCAAATTAATTCCAGTTCTGCAGTTTCTCGTTGAAGTCTGTTTTTGAAGTTTTTTTGTTGAAGAATTGCCACTTTTAAGTCTGTTATTCAACCAGGCAGGTTGAAGTGCTCTCCTACTGGTTTTTTAATGGTACAATTCTTGATGTCTGATTTGTGTCCATTTATTCATTTGCGCAGAGACTGTCTGGTTTGTCCAATGGACATGGCAGAGGGGCTTTGCTGGTACATTATGGCATACATCACATTGGTAGATGTGCAGGTGAACAAGCCCCTGATGGTGTGGCTGATGTGGTTAGGTCCTATGATGGTGTCCCTTGAATAAATATGCGGACAGAGTTGGCAACCGGTTTGTTGCAGGGATTGATTCCTGGGATAGTGTTTCTGTTGCGTGGTGTGTAGTTGCTGGTGAGTATTTGCTTCAGGTTGACACAAAAGCTTATGAGCAAATAAATTTGTTAGTCTCTAAGGTGCCACAAGGACTCCTCGTTGTTTTCATTCTGACAGAATACAGGAGGGGAGAGAGAGAGACTGAGGTTCGTGAAAGTTTAAAAAGATATCTAGAGAAATTAAGGAATGTTGACCAAACAGCTATGAAGAAATTTTGTCCAGTAATGAATGATGCATGTTCAGTTATTAATACACTACAGAATATTTGAGCAAGGATGAGGGGATTTGGAAAGTTCAGAATAATAATCATGCTTTATATTTAAGGTATGAGAGATAAGCCACCAAACACAGAGAAGTGGATTGTTTGGGAGTGAATTATTAAAAATCATGCATTTATGGGTAGTGAGATAATTCCAAATATGAAATACCCTATAGTACTCTTCCAGAGCAGATGTTCTATGGTATCAGGGTTTCCTCTGCAGCACCAACATATGGCATTATTTACTATGTGTGGCAAATATATTTTGGTTTGTGTCCAGCAGCTAAGGCAATGTATTTATGTATGTTTGTTTGATAGTCTGAGACCATCATGAATGATTCTGATCAAAGCTGACCACATATAAACAGGAATTCATTGATCTGGACACAGTTTAGACTGAATTTCAATTTGTCTTCCAAATGTCCTATTACTGCCATTACCTACATGCTTTTCCCCACGGTCCATTTTCCCCAAGAAAAAGCCCAAGTGCTATTGCTCATTGTGTTCCACATACATTGTACAAAGAAGGAGGAATAGAAATAGAAAATAGCGAAAAAGGTGCATGTCAGAAATATTTCTATTGTAAGTGTAAAAGGCACATGACAGACTGATTCCAGGAAACAATTCCCCTCAACCGTTCCCTGCAACTGAAGAAAAGTCATCAGAAAAGAAATAATAATGACTGTTCTGGTTCTTGGGAGCTGAGAAACCATCTGTAACATTATTCTGGTTCCACATCTCCCTGAACCCACTCATTCCCTATGCCTTCTTCTTCTCTCCCCTCTTCCACATCTCCCAGGCTCCTTTCTTTCTTCCTGCTTCCAAAACTTTCAGGCTGCCCCAACCCGCACCACTCTACTGCTTCCTTCCAAGTATCCCTGGATGCAGTAATTCCTCCATCTACACCTCACTTCAAAGCGGTCTCCAAAGCTCCTTCAGACTCACTCTCCTTCCAAATATCCCAAATATCAGCTTCCAAGTTTCCATATCTTTAAGCGTGTTTTCTCAGCTTCTCAGTCTCCTAAACATCTATTTTCTTTGATCAATTTCCTCTAAGTTCCTGACTTCCTGCACAACTATTCAAAACAATGATCTTTATTTCCTCTGCCATCATATTTACAGTGTCTACACCAGGCTACAATATAAACCAGTGAGTGCTAGCTAGGGGCATTTTTGATACTCTTAGTGCATTACTGAGGGTCCAGTACTCACAGATGACACAGGTAAGCCATCCTGGTGAAACGGTCTCATTTAAAAGAACCCATATTTCAAAAGTTCCAATTCTTTTAAGCACATTTCAAAACTATAACATGGATTTGGGTAACACCAGAGGGAAAAAACAGAGGAAAGTTCCATTTAGAAATAGATTTATATTACAATGTTACTGGTGTGTTGTACATATATTTTAAAAGCCAAACTTTCAGTAATGTGCTACTGAATCTTTGTGCACTATACACTTAAATCAAGCCTTCTGAAATGAGATTATAAATTTAACATTTTTTTAAATCATAAAAGATATAATGGAAAAATACTTAACCATGAAACACTGTCTGCAAAATAAGCAATGCCCAACATTATATGTAAATAAAGATATTTCTTATATACCACAAATAAGTTTTGTGTAGTCAACTGTAAGAAGTCTTTAGTTACAGGATTTATGTCATTTACACGATTCAGAGACCATAAGGTACAATTCATTATTTACATTTCTCATCCTAAAACAAGTGCAGTGGTTTACCTTGTCATCAGGTAGGACGTGCCAGATAGATATGGTCTTCTCCTCCGCCTCGCTATTGATGGACAGATATGAAGGCTGGTAAATTTTTGTTGGTTCTAATATTAAAACCTTGGTGGGGGGAGGGAATTAAAACTCATTAAAGGGTTTATGAAATGTAAAAAGCATTGTGATCAACTGAAAACATGTCTAAAGTCCTAACACATTAGGAATCACTAGGGGAAAAGATAAAACTTTAAAATAATCACACTAGCCTACAGTCTGAAATTCTAGTTTAAATTTAGTTTTTCTATAATACGCCTTTTTCCACTACAGACATGATCACATGGTACTCCTGATTCAACAAGGTTCTGAGTACCTTCATTGCCTACTGCCAGGTGTTGAGCAACCTCTATAACATGGTAGGTTTTTGGACCCAGTGCAGGAAGTTTGAGGATCATAGAATCATAGAATATCAGGGTTGGAAGGGACCTCAGGAGATCATCCAGTCCAACCTCCCGCTCGAAGCAGGACCAATCCCCAACTAAATCATCCCAGCCAGGACTTTGTCAAGCCTGACCTTAAAAACCTCTAGGGACGGAGATTCCACCACCTCCCTAGGTAACCCATTCCAGTGCTTCACCACCCTCCTAGTGATTTTTTCCCCCTAATATCCAACCTAAACCTCCCACACTGCAACTTAAGACCATTACTCCTTGTTCTGTCATCTGCCACCACTGAGAACTGCCGAGCTCCATCCTCTTTGGAACCCCCCTTCAGGTAGTTGGAAGCAGCTATCAAATCCTCCTCATTCTTCTCTTCTGCAGACTAAACAATTCCAGTTCCCTCAGCCTCTTCTCATAAGTCATGTGCTCCAGCCCCCTAATAATGTTTGTTGCCATCCGCTGGACTCTCCAATTTTTCCACATCCTTCTTGTAGTGTGGGGCCCAAAACTGGACACAGTACTCCAGATGAGGCCTCACCAATGTCGAATAAAGGGGAATGATCACGTTCCTCGATCTGCTGGCAATGCACCTACTTATACAGCCCGAAATGCCGTTTGCCTTCTTGGAAACAAGGGCACACTGTCGACTCATATCCAGCTTCTCGTCCATCGTAACCCCTAGGTCCTTTTCTGCAGAACTGCCTAGCCATTCGGTCCCTAGACTGTAGCAGTGCATGGCATTGGTCAGCTTGTGCCTTTGTTTGCAGTTTGGGTTGGGAAAGGAGCAGTTGGAAAGCTCATCAGAGAGAAAGCAGAAAGTTCTTCACTCTGGAGCTAGACTGAATTGCTTTTAAGTCAGACCATTGTGAGCAGTAACTATAGAACTGGACAGGAGGGAATGGTTCCATTGGAGCTAACAGCATCCCAGGGGCCACATGCTGACAACAACAGATTGCAGAACAATTCTTGGGATATGAGAGAGCAAAATTTGGAAGATTAATCCAGAGGAGATGGAATTCAGTACAGCAAGATTTGATCTAACCTAGGTCACCTAGTATACTGTTGTGCTATACTACATCAAAAATGCTTAGACAAAAGTAGCTGACGGCCCATCTTTAGGGCCCTACCAAATTCACAGCCATGAAATACACATCTGAGACCATGAAATCTGGTCTACCCCATGAAACCTCCTTAAAGGTTTTTAAGGTCCAGTTTGACAACGCCCTGGATGGGATGATTTAGTTGGGGTTGGTCCTGCTTTGAGTAGGGGGTTGGACTACATGACCTCCTGAGGTCTCTTTGAACCCTAATCTTCTATGATTCTATTAAATCTGGTCTTTTGAATACTTTTACCCTATACTATACAGATTTCATGGAGACCAGCATTTCTCAAAATGGGGATCCAGACCCAAAAGAGGGTTGTGGGGGTGTCGCAAGGTTATTGTAGGAGGGTCACAGTATTGCCACCCTTACTTCTGTGCTGCCTTCAGAGCCAGATGGCCGGACAGCAGCGGCTGCTGGCCAGGCACCCAGCTCTGAAAGCAGCACCCCACCAGCAGCAGCGCAAAAGTCAGGGTGGCAATACCGTACCTTGCTACCCTTACATCTGCTGCTGCCTTCAGAGTTGGTCAGGACCCCTACAGTTACAACACTGTGAAATTTCAGATTTAAATATCTGAAATCATGAAATTTACTTTTTTAAAATCCTATGACCATGTAATTGACCAAAATGGACCATGAATTTGATAGGGCCCTACCCATCTTACTTCAGACCCTTAAAGGAAAAAGTCAGCACAGTTTAGCATTTTTAGACATTTGGTAAAGACTGATATTATTGTCTTTTTATAGTATTTTATATTTAAATCTGATTTCCAGAAAAAAAACTCCAAAAGCCTTTAAGTCTATATTTACTGCATGTAAGGTTTTCTGTTTCAGTCTGTAAATGTTTGTATTTAATTGGGGAAAAGGTTACTGCACTTCCATTTATTCTGAATTGATATTATAAAATATTTCCCCCCAAAAACTGTCAAAATATGTCAAGATATTTATTTAAATAGAAAGGAAATCAAGTTAGAGAACAGCATAAATTAATTCTTGTACCTAAAACACCTGCCTCCAAACCCCCTTCCCACATACTTTAAAATCAGCATTTATCAATGTATTGTGTTTTTTGCAAGTGATTTCTATGCTTTACTTTTAAAGAAGAATTTTTAAACTGCTTTTGTAAATAAATACTAAACTTATTGATTTCCAAAATTTGTAAGCTGTGTCTGCAACAAAGTGATATCGCAGGGCTCTGTGTGATTAGACTGGAGAAGCAGAGATAAAAGCCACTACCTTCAGCTCAACATTCACAAACTCTGGGGCAGAGCTATAGAAGGTCAGGGTCAGATTAACCCTCTCATGTCCGGGTCTTGGAGACCATTAAGAATTCTCTTAGTTGCTTAAATTTTTTTTAAAACCACCCAAATAGAAATTATTGGAAATTCCCAATGGTTCAAGATCTACACTCCATATACTTCTATAGGTGTCAATAGTAGTTGGTGGCACTCCACAGCTGCCAGCTAACTAGCAGGGGCCAGAGCAACTAGGACCAGCTCCTGGTCTGCTCCCAGACTAACTGCTGCTAGGCAACCAATGAACCCAGATGGAGCAGACAGAGTGGTCACAACCCCTGACTGGCTGCTGGTTTAGCAGCTCTGCTTATAAGCTTAGCCCCCACAGCACATCAGTGGCTGCTCAACGCCTCCACCTGCCCTTGTTCCAGTCCCTGCCTGATCCAGCCCCTGTTCCCCTCCAGCTTCTGATTTCTGGCTTCGATTCCCTGGCTCTGCCTCTGGCTTATGACTCTCGTTGACCCTCCAGCTCTCACATTTGGCTTCTGTCTCTCCGGCACTGACCCTCGGCTCATCCTTGGACTCTGACCACCCTATACCCAGCTCTAACCAATAGGCTGAACTCTCATTCCAACCACTAGGCCTTACCGCCCACAGATGAGTTGGCTATGTGACAAGAATAGCTCAGGGCCAGATTTTAAAGGTATGTCGACGCCTACAGATGGAAGTTAGGTGCTTTTGAAAATCCCACTAGGCACCTGTCTGCATCTTTAGGCACCTGAATACCTATAAAAAACTGGCCTTCAGCATCTCAGAATTGGGCCTTAAGTTTGTAAAGAAATGCGTGCAGCAGAATTTTAGTATCTGTATTTTTCTACACATGTAACATTCTTGTAAAGTGTGTCATGTCTTCCTCCAGTGTCTAGTCAGAGGATAACAGCTTTCTGCAGCTGCCAGTTGTGGAGTTAGTTTGTATGTTCAATTGGTAGAAGCTGGTGCATTGGTACTGAAGTTCCTAGATCCAGACCCTATTGGCAATCTGCGCTGAAGATTGTTACACAGAAGCAGTTACAAATGAGTTTCAATTTTTTTTTTATAAATACCATTTATTTATAAACCTTTGACAAAAAATTCTATAGTGCCTTTCCATTTCTCCTCTTTTGTTGCCCTTTCTCCAGAGTATGCAATGCACAATCTGTTTTGCTTGTACATGTACATTTTTCAGACTGTAAGTGAGAAGAGGCCTGTTACTGGGTGACAATAGTATAGTCACATGAACAAGTATGGGTACAGCATTTCACCTTTGGCTGCATTGTGTTATTGACCAGATCTTCTCAATTTTAATTTAAAGAAAATAAGAGTGTTTGGCGGAGACAGTTCTGGAAGGCAGATCCTGTTTTCAATGTTTCATTATGTCATGTGATAAGAAAGAATAAGAAAGGGATGTGGTTTCCCCTGGGTGTCCGTTATGAAGCCAAGAGTAATTTGCATATTTTCTTGCTTTAACTCACTCAAACCTGGCCATGTCACAACCCTTCCTTGCAGAAAAAAGACAGAGCAGGATTCCCTGCAGAGCCTGCCATTGTCACTACTTGCTGTCTGGAGCAGTTGTTCTTGAGCATTACAAAGTGCAGTTTTCCCTGGGATTGATTGTACCACCTACACATTGTGTCCAATCCCCAGCTGCATGCAGAGCTGTACAAAACAGACAATTTGCACTTCTCAGGAATTTGGGTAACAACATTGGTTGCCATTTAAAAATAATAAAAGAGCAGTATTTGCCAAAAGCGACCACATCAAAGTTTCTAAAATACAAGTTTTCCTCGATACATAGCATACAGGAAACAGTGGTAGTGAGGATCTTTTTATTGCATATATCCTGCATCCTCTAGCTGGGCATAAAGTAGCCATTCAGTATAAAGCAATTGAGCAATATATTACTAGCAGGGTTCATAATTATTTTTCTAGGAAATAACTGAATGCATGTAATGTAGCGTGGTTGTGGATTACTGTCTAATACTATAAACAGTATGGTACTGACTGTCTAGGCTCACTTATGGTCCCTAAAACAGTGCACAAGTGGACATCATTAAGTGAAATAAATTGTGAGTCAGATATGCTAAGCCTAACAACGTGTTGCTAACAACTGATAAGACAGAGAAAGAAAAACTCCTTTCCTCAATGTGTAATTTAATTAATCTGTTGTCGTTTGGCACTGATTGGAACATTATAGATAGCCTAAATTATAAAATTCTACATTGGCTTTTCCCTTGCTGATTTCCTATAAAACAGACCAAGCAACCCCATTGTCACAGAATTTAATCAACAAAAACCACTGCGCTACGCAGATCAAATATATTTCTTCTGGGAGCATGGTTTATTGCCTGAAAAGTTCTGAACAAGTGATATTTTTATTAACAATGCTATGTGACAAAAAGGAAATGAATACAATTAGAAGTGAGACAGTTAATAAAAAGCACACTTACTGGAAATCTAACTACAGACACATCTGTCTTTGTGGCTTCAACTAGGAAGTCCATCCAAAAGTCCACAAGTTCCTGTTTGGCAACATGTTGTTCTGGATTCAATTTCTTAAAATGCTGATATATCAAAATAGTTTCTACAATAGACTTGAGGTACCTACAAACGGCAAAGCACATACAGGCAGTAAATTTAATACAGTTTGCAAATAATCATTTTTGTATCTTTAATCAGACTTTAAAAATTCAACATCAAGATGCCAAGACAGCCAGGTGCAGTACCTCCTTCTGTCTGCACCTGGGCAGCTATGCTGGGTGGTGCGGTGGGGATTAGAATGTGCTGCATAGCTCCACCCCTTCCCCACTCTTGGGACAGGCTTGAACTAGCAGTGTGCTAGCCCTAAGTAGTCACTGTGCTCTCTGAGCTAACGGACCATAACGTGTCTGGGTCCTGAACAAGGACATAAAGGGAAGGAAGATGAAAAGGTGAACCTTACCTCCCTCTGTTCACTTGTACAGGGTCAAGACACCACTTAACTAAATGTGTTAGTAACCACAGAAAGGATTTCTCTGAGATAAATTTGAGTACAATCTTACTGTTCTGACACCCTGATAATTCCAGAAATTAGTCATTAAGGGAGTCGGGGGGGAAGGGGGGGGAAATCAGCTGTAGGAAGAAGTCTCTCCAGGGAGTTGGAAGCATTATTAGATCTTGCAGCTGTCTCAACTCTTGAAATTCCTTGATTTAATTTGCATTACGTACGTATTTCTCCCCTCTAACAATAAGATTTAAATTCTCTGAACATCCATTCTTGACCAGCTCCTGTTTGCCTTTACAATTTGAATGTTGTTGACCTATTTTATACCAAGTGGTTTTAAATATGTGAAGGAAAACAAAACAAATTACACATTGACCTGATCTTACACTCGGAAAGGCACAATCATCAGTTTTTAAAATGTTATATTCCCTTCTTGATACATGCACACTGTTTTCAGAGGAAAAGATACCTCCAAGTATCATTTGAGTCTTTTTTTTAATTATTAAAAGTAGTAAGTATGAAGGTTGCTTAAAGATCACAACAGTTGAAATACAATGCTATGTGTGACAAGTTCAAGTAGCGACATTAACAGCTTTTTTAACATACAGAGGTGTTCAAAATATCATATCATATACATTCCCTTACCATGCCGGTGTCTTTAGCTTAAATAGCTTTTCTGAAGCCTGGATCACTCTTAGGTGGTCATTGGCCAGGACACTGGCGCCCAAGAAAAATCCGACTTCCCAATAACTCTGCAGCTTCTCCAAATTCCCCTTTTTACCAAGCAGGCTACTGATCTTTACCCCTGTAGTGATAAGAATACAATTTAATGGTAAGGTGGTTTTGCAGGCCAATATAGAGGTTAACAATTCTCTGATTTGTAACTTTTTCACTCTTCAAATTACTGTATGTCAAGGAATACAAATACATAAAATGAAGCTCTAAACATTATGTAGGTTTCCATTTTGGGATAGCAAATTGATAATGAAGGGCATTAACAGAAAAACAATAAAACAAACTGCTCTCTTCCCCCTTTCCCCCCACACCCGAAACATACCCACAGAGACCAAACTCCTTTGAACACTAAAGGAAAATTACTAAACAGTAAGGCTACACTCTGATAAAAAATATCTGTAAAACAAATAAATCATTAAAAGGAGCTTTATTAAAAGCAATTTAGACTTTCCACTGTGATTATTCTGATGGAAATTACATGTACCATATTGTTTTTAAACCCTTCAAAGCTTCATGAGTACTAAAGGTACCTCTTTTTCCCTTCCTATCGGCCCTTCAGGAAAGGAACATCAGGACATCACTGTAGGGACAAAGCCACAGCTGGATTGTCTATGTCCCTGCATGGACCTCATCTGTAAAGGTAAATTTGGGGCCTTAAAATACATAATGTAACTTTAAAAACTTAACAGGTGCTAAAAACTGCACCTATTATGTTTTTTTGAGTTACAGGCCTCAAGTTTAAAGCCCCAAACTTACCTTTATAGACAAGGTCCCATGCAGGGTGCAGAGATGATCCAGTGGGGTTCTTCCTGCAGTGAGCATCTTTTGTTTGGCAGTGAGTCCTACCCCAAGAAAAGACATCCATTAGTATTTATGTGCCCCCTTCTGCAAACACTAGAGATTGTGGGAGAGCCTTGGGTTTACCTGGACCTATTAACTCATGCAAAAACTGCAAATTGCCTTGTACACACACACACAGCCCCATCCCAAAGAGCTTACAATACGACAAATTCTTGATTTCATCCTGTGGGTCTAACTCAGTATTCATTGTGCAAGAAAACTGATTAAAATGGGACATTTTCTTGTATGGAATATCTAAACAGGCCCTATATTAGCTCCACATGGGTCCCAGGCCCCAAACTATGGACTGTCCCAGCAGCACAGAAAAGGGAAAAAATGATCTCCTTCAAGGTCCTCCAATTTATCTATGTTTAGGACATGCTGAAAGCTTATGAATGTACTCACACTTTTGCCTCAGTCAAACTAGAATAATGTGCTCTCTTTTAGTGATGCTCTTAAATATGGCAGTGTAATATTGATATGTATTTTCTGTAAACAAAAAAATTAATAATGAAGGATAATTGCATTCCTGTGAATTTCAGTCTCAGGGCCATTATCTATTTCCATCATTTCTCTTATATGCACAGCAGGGATTATTTTGATTTCATCATCTTTACTCAAGTGCATGTTCTTTTACACTTACTAAACTTTTAAACTCAAGACAATGTTTTCTTTATGTGAAGGACAAGCTTACCAATGTGTGTACAAAAGGCATATTTTCCACAGTTCATTGTTAAAAAGATATTAGCTTTAAAAAATAATCAGCAAAAATGTAGAGCCTATTAATGCCATGTCAGAAATTATATTTATAATATCAGGAATTTGTTTGCAGCTTGTATGGAAAATAAGATATTTATCATAAGCAGTTTTTGTCTGTGATTCTATATGCATAAGAAAAAGAAGGCAGTGTTCTCATTAATAAAATGAACTGCTTTGCAAGATCAAAGATGGCTAAATAATTTGCAACAGCTGCATCATCTGAGTATGCAAATCACATAACTTGCAGAGAATCATTATCAGCATCCTTGCAAAGCCCATTTTTGTGTTTTAGTCTCAAAAAAGTCTTTAAATTTTGTGTTTCAAAGCAGTTAAAAAACTACAAATCAGAATATAGCAAGTGTGAAAGAGACTCACAAAAATTCTCCATAAGACCATTTCATCATTAACACTTATTCTTCCACAATTATAGACTGAAAACTTTAGAAAGCAACTTTCTGACCTAATATAGATTGGGAAAAAAGCAGTTCTGGTCACTGCAGCTTTTTGAGCGACTAAAACTAACTGGGAATGTAATCAGATCCCCAAGTTGTGAATTCTGGTAATAGAAAACACACCATCAAAATAGCAGATATAATTTTGCTATATCCTGCAGTTGCTTCCCCCAAACTACCATTATCATCTCAGTCTCATCTGAACTGATTCTCAATAAACTTGCTCTCATGTATGCCCCAATCTCTCCCAGACAGTGAAACAGACATTCTTTGGGCTATACAGGCTGCAGACATAAATTTGGGTGTGATCAGCATATAGAAAGCACTTCAATGCATCTCGTGACTAACTCTCCTAATGGTCTCATATATGCATAAAAAGGTTGACAGCAAAGACCATCCACATGAACGCCACAAGCCAGATGATTGCCCCCTCCAGCCTGGGCAATCAGCTGGTTTGCAGTTCTGGAGGGTCAAGGGTGGGGGCTTGGGGAAGGGGTGGAGTGGACGGGCTGAGGGTTGAGCCCCCTGCCCCCAGCAAAGTCAGTGCCTGTGTTTGCAAGAACAGCATGAGGAGCAGCCGGACAATCCATCCTCTTCCACTCTCTGACTCCACCACCTCAACCAAGCTTCATACTCAGCAGTGATGACTGTAGTATTAAATTGTTTCTTTAAAATTGTTTAAAACTTATACCTGTATTAAATTGCTTGTTTAAAATGTATATAATGCCTTTTGTCTGGCAAAAAAAAATTTCCCTGGAACCTAACCCCCCTATTTACATTAATTTGTATGGGGAAATTGGATTCACTTAACATCGTTTCACTTAAAGTCGCATTTTTCAGGAACATAACTACAACGTTAAGTGAGGAGTTTCTATACATTTAAAAACAAAACACTATAATCCTACCAAAACAAGATACTCCACTGTTCACACCTCTCCCACTGGGGAGAGGATGAGGGAACAAACATGCATGACAGATGTTAGTCACATTACTTAATGTGCTACTGGAAGGTGCCCAGATACTACAGTGATGAGGATAGTGTTTTAACCCATATAAAACAGAATAAAAGAGAAGACATTGTTATCTGTGGAAGATGATGCGTCACAGCATTTTCAATAATCTTAATGACACACAGAAGAATAGACACAGGTGGGTAACAGGAAAGACTGCAGGAACCAAAGTTTTTAAGCAGAGGCTGAACAAATGCTTTCTTAAAAGTGATGAACACCTTGCCCTCTTCAAAGAAGATGTTGACAAACTCCACCAGCAGATAGTGTAGTTCTTCCCTATTGATCTTCACCAACCATGAGCATGAAGGATCCAAAGTCAGGGTATCCTATGAAATTCTCCAAACACAGTCAGTGAGCGACACTGGCCAAAACTTAAGAAGAGAGGGCCTAGCATTTGTGCCTTTGAGATATTGCCCTAACTCCCTGGAATGCAGGCAGTTTGGTCCAAAACCAATTGATTAGAGTGGAAATGTCTGTGCATCAAGAAATGGCCTTGTAATAGGAGAGACTCAAATAAATCACTCAGTAAACGTAGCTCATATTAACCAGGCTGCCCACAACCCAAAACAGAGTTGAGTGAAAATCTGCAGTATTTTTTCTTTGCCTCCCACACAGTCATGGACATAAGAACTCAGACTTCAGAGTAGGAGGTGATGGCATTGTATCAATGCTATGGATAAAAAAATCCAACCCAAAATCTAATCCAGAGTATGGAGAGCCATGAGTTGAGACAACCACATGTGATAATCTAATAGTGGCTCTCACTGTCACAGGAGGGCAAAATGCCTGAAGAAACTAAACAGCTGGGGTATCCCTAAACAGCGCACCACACCAAATCAATACCTCAAATCCCCACATGCCACAAAACAACCCAAGATCTACATCATCATTCCTACAGCAACAGCCATCCCCCTCTATTCTTCACCCTCCAAAATGTCATCATCTTAAAAATACATCAGCATAATATCCCTATACAGTATGCAGTGTTATTCTAGCCGTCTTAGTCCCAAGATAGTAGAGAGACAAGATGAGTGAGGTAATATCTTTTGAAAATATCTTTAAAATATAGAAGATAACAGATACTACCTCACCCACCTTGTCTCTATAATATCCCTGTCCCCACTCTTCCCTTCTCTAAAATACTTTTGTTGCCGATACTGAGCTGGGAGGTGGGGTTGTCTCTCTTAAAAAGAGCACTCTTCTACCTGTACAAGTTAGTCTCTGTATGAAGAACAGCAGAGTATGTCTGGCCAAGGCCACTAGAGATGGCTGAAAAATGGAATTTCTCTCTAATGGGAAGTTCCAAAACATTTTTTTTTTTTAATTTCATCTCAAATTGAGATGAAAAGTCAAAATATCTTCGAATTTTTTGTTAAATATTCTAAAATATTTCTTTTCAATAAGGACAAAACACTTCATTTTCACTTTGTTTTGACTTTTACATTATAATTTTAACAGAAAAGTCCAGTGAATTCAAAAACAAAACAATTTGATCTTGTTGAAATTAAATATTTCAACAATGTCCCATCAACATTTGGACAATATATTCAAAATGTTTGAATTTTGTCAAATCAGCATTTTTTCCGATGGAAAAATATTCCACTGACAGATTTTTGAACAGCTCTAATTAAGAGTAACCTCCACTTGAAACTAAGGGAGGCTTTTTAAATAGGAAAATAGCAATTATGCAGGTTGGCACTTTCTTGTGACAGTGGAATTAACTCTGAAAAGTACCATCAGAGATGCAATGACCAAAAGTGAGTAGGTTCATGGGTTTATGTTGCATATATAAGAAATCCCCACCATCTGATGCCTAGCTGGAATACTGATTCACTACAGCAATATTCAGCAACATTCTGTGGAGAAAAAAATAGCCCTAGTAACAAAAATGGCATTTTCGCATGTGTCTTAGGAAGTACAAATGGAAAAAAAAGTTTTATAACAGATTGTATAACAGATGTATAAACATCCTTTTCTCTATGCATGAATTTCACTGGCACTTTAAATGCATGTATAAAATGTAATGCCATATTATGTGAAACAATTTTATATTTATATATGTTTTAGAAATTAATTTAGAACAATTTAATGGCCTCCATCATATCAAATGTCACTTTCTACCAACCTTATTATCTAGAATGATGTGTCAAGAGTGTTCCATTAATATGGATTTGAAAGTGAGTCCCTGGCCACATGTCCCAATAGGATGTTTATATTATCCAGATCCTGATAAAGTAGCTCTGATTAAACAGATTGACAAAGAAGACTGTCACCTACAGAGACTATATTGTAATATATATGCAAGTACTATTGGCTAGCCTTGACTTTGCATATCTCCTTAGATCTTACAAGATCATAGCATAAGGCAACAAAGTGGTATATACAACTAAACCAATGCACAAAAGGCAAATAGAAATTGAATCTCTTCTCTCCCATCCTACCCCGCTGGAAGTCAAAGGCATATTTTCCCCATTGCTAGGATGGCTTTCAGTTCATTGTCCCCACTGTCCTGTATCACAGTGATTTACCTCGAACACCGGTAGTAACATGCTCCTTCAGGGACTAGCAAATTAATTCCTAGGTCAACTGCAAAGTGAGCAGGTTATGAGGCCACTATACCCTCTGCTACCCAAGCAGGAAGAGATAGGGCCCAGAGAACTGAACCAGGTCTCCACCAGAGCACTAAACTCAGGATCACCAGGAAGGCTCGATGCCAAACCTTTTTAATGAGAAAGGCAGTTGAAGTCTTCAATTACTCACCATCAAAGTACTCTGAATACATCCATTAGATTGTTTCCCCTATAATAGTGGGGGGGTGGGGTGGGGAGAGATCATGGATTTGATTTGCCTGTGAATCAGCAAGCTATTAATTACCAACTTTCCGTAGCTCAAAAGAAGTATCAAACTGGTGTCCAGCTGCCAGTAGGAGTACTGCATAATTAATTCCCGATTGCAATGTTGGCTCCGACTCAAACGCCTTCTTGAACCTAGAAAAAACAAACACACAAGTTTACTTTCTAAATAATGCAATCTAACAAGGAGATAATTATAGGGTTAGGTACTGTAAGTGCTTAGCTTCCGTTTGCACAATTAGAACCATCCATGCAAGTAAAAATATTATACTGTTCTCCACTCATGCTTCCTGCTTATTTTTAGGAGTACAACATTTATATATCCTTCTCCCATTTCTCTCTCACACACACACACACTCACTCACTCCCCTCACCCCCCAAAAAACCTCATTAAGACTAGTATTTAAAATGCAAAAGCTGTTGAATTTTGCCTGTTGAACTTGCTGCTTGATTTACAGAGAGCAGTCTAGAACTCTAATGAGATCAGCAAACAGACCCTGAAAGTCAAGATGAGTGATGAAGACTTAATTTGCTCTTTACTTTGATCATCTGTCTTTACTTCTGCTCTGTGAGACTGAATGAAATGAGGAAGGAAATGTATGCTAGCAAAACATTTATTTATAGTAAAATACAAAAAAATCCTCCCACCAGCCCCAAACTCATTAACTAGAATGAATAGCTTGGTTGGCATAATCACACTCAGGCCTTTTTCTTACTTTGCTTAGTGCTACAGCTGCTTTGAGGTTTGGAATCCTTATTTCTCTACTGATCTTTTGTGCTACCTTCATCATGCAATGGACAGGAAAAGAGAAAAAAAACTGATGAAATAATTAGAAGAAAAGGGGAACAACATTGTTGTTGTTGTTGTCCCAAATATATAGAAGCCTGTTTGTAACTACAACTCTGGATTTCTAAACAGTATTTCATTTCTTCTACACAACACTGTCTAAATATGCCCAAGTTTGACCTGTATACCCTTCGTTCTTAAAAATGAAAATAGCTGCTATGCATCTGTTTAAAATGTAGAGACACCCACACAATAAACGGGATAAAAGCACACAGACAAAGGAAATGTAAATTAACCTAAGCAGAGAATCTATACAGGTGCACCCACCATCCAGAACCTAATGATTAGAAAAGGACAAGACAAGAGAAGCAAGGGAAGATCTTGTTCAGACCAAATCAGCATAGCAGCTACTTTAAAAAAAAAATGCATTTAGTACTTGTTGTAGGAGTTGGCGTAAAAGTCCTGAAAACTGAAGTCTTCTATTTATATACAAGAAAGACATACCACAGGCAGCGAAAATATCACTACACTTCTTTGTTAATATGTTTGAACCCTGGCTTACCCTGAGAGATCAATTCGGAGGATGACTGAGTTTACTTCTGTAACTGCACTGTCATTCTTTGTCCTTTCTCTGTTAAGTGTGCCAATTAGTGTCAGCTGTGGTGGCGGCTTTTGTAAAGTGCATAAGGAAAGTGAATGAGGCAACCAGACACTAGCTCCTTTTACAAAGTCCTCACCCAGTCTCTCTTTTAGTTCTGGCAATTCTGTGGGCATCATTGATGTCATATGTACCGACGTCTCTGCCTGTTAGACCTCCAAGCCCTGTTCTACCCACAGAGTGGTATCAATATAACTAAAGGTGTAGTTTTATACTGTTTAGTTATAATCTGTATAATCTTTGTGTGGGGACACACTTACATGGGTTTAAACCTGACTCAGGGCTGGCTCCAGGCACCAGCTTACCAAGCAGGTGCTTGGGGCGGCCACTTCGCAGAGGGGCGGCACGTCCAGCTGTTTGGCGGCAATTCGGCGGACGGTCCCTCACTCCTGCTTGGAGCGAAGGACCTCCCGCGGAACTGCCGCTGCAGATCGCAATTTTTTTTTTTTGGCTGCTTGGGGCGGCCAAAACCCTGGAGCCGGCCCTGACCTGACTTATAGCAATGGAGCATGAATTAGTAAATTTACAGATGCAAGCTAAACTGAAATAACCTTTTTTGAACAGATATGGTTCAAACACAAAAGTTGCACCAGTTTAACTAAGCTGATTTAAGTTAAATGTGTACAACTGCTGTGTGTATGCAAGCTTTAAATATCGCTGGTTGTGCCCAAACAGAATTGTGAGCACAAAGTTGCACCCCCACTTATTTTCATCTGCAAACTTTAGGTGCAAAGCAGGAGGTCAGGTTTTAAAAATCTGTATCTAAAGTTATGACACCACATCAAGTGAGGCAATTACAAATGCCACAAAGATAACGAAAGCTAACATTTAGGAAAATGTTATAGCACTGACATTGAATTAGAGAGGTAAAAGAGCAAGGATTTGGATAGAAAAGACTAATTTATTGGCGGATCTGATTTACAATATCAGTAATGCAGTAGTCTGACAAAAAAAGTGTCAGTTAATTAACCTGTTATCGCTATTCTCATATTTATAGGAAAGGTTTATGTCCTTCCATCTTTTATGTTAGGAAAGGGTACTTCCTTCCCTCTTTACTTCTCTGGAATAGGCCAAACATTTTTCACACTGCTAGCTGGTTGTAAAAATGATTCTTCGGCTTTTAGCTAGAGGAAATGTGATTATCAACACACACACACACACGCAGAGCTTTTCACACAAGCATCCAGCACAATATGATTTCATTTTTTCCTCCCACAGAGAGAACAACAAAATTCTGGTTTATAAGTCATAATATACATAATGTTATAGCTACAGTAACAGTGGCATCTCTAATGAAATCACTATGTACAAGTCTGCCTATTCTTTCCTGGATGTATCATCAGCATTTCTACTACTGTGTATTAGAGAACAGACCCTCCTGAGCTACTGAACCAAAGAGTGAGACAGTGTTTAATATTCTTTTATGCACAGGCAGGTAATTAGCTTCACCACTGACTTGCTTTGTGAACTTGGAGAAACCACTTGACTTCTATGTCCCAGTTCCCCTGTAAAATGGGGATAATAATGCTTACTTCAACATAATTAAGCACTTTAAGATGCCTGGAATTAAAAAGCTCCTTAAGCGTTAAATATTATGATTAATTAAAAACAGTTTGAACCTATTGGCTGCTCTTAGGTTAGTTATGTTTGAGCCTCTCTCACTGCTTCTCTTTTCATAGCTATGAATGAACAAGGAAAAAGCAAATAATTTAACAATAAACTCAACATTATTTATACTACTTCACCCATCATATTGCCAAGTTTTATACTCAAGTCTATCATTTTATCTACCTTAACATCACCTCACAAAAAAAAAGGTGGGGGGCATTTAAATGACAATCTCGAAAAATCTCATAATGGTCATGGCTCAGAGGAATTAGTGAATGATACTTTTTTTAAAAAAATCAAAAGTTATGAGCTGTATTCTTACTTTCCAATGTCATTTAAAGATTCAGTAGTAGTCACATATCTGTAATGTATTAGAGGTGTTTAAAAACTGAGATTGTTTAAACATACTTCTATCATGAACTGCCCCCTGCACTAAAAGTTTACAGAAAATATAGAAAAAAGAAATTTGCTGTTAAATTCTCAACTGCACTTACACACACACACACACACGAAGACTGGAAGCTGGTGGTTATAGGACCAGAACTAGAATCTGATATAAAGAACATGCACAAGCTAAGCACACAGTGTGTACATTTACAAATTAATTGAAAGGAAAGAAGCCCATGATGGCAATAATCTACAATTGAGGCTGATACCTCAGTGTGCTCCTCTCAGCAACTAAAAGCTCAACAGACAAAATAAGGGAGACAGAGCAATGATCTAGTCTCATTTAGTTGTTCAGTATGGTATTAAACTACAAAACCAGAGAAAAACTCAGTGCCTGTCCCCAACTTAGTCAGACAGTACAGTCCAGGCACACAACACACAGGACAATCAGTAGTATTTCTTTCTATTTAGTGTAGTGTAGGCATACTACACTGATGGTGTAACCGTTTTGTTGTCATGAAAATAGGATAGCCATGCTAGTCACAAGCAGGGAAGTCACAAATAAGTTGAGTGGTTCACCCCAGCCAAGTGTCGATATTATGTTACACCACACCACATCACACCAACACACATTCTATCAGTTATGTATCATAAAATAAACACTCTTGAATTGAGAGTTTTTAATTATTTTGAGACCATTTTTGCTCTCTCTCCACTGGGACAACTAGATTCCTTTAGTATCATGAGTCCAAATTTATAGACCTCTGAAGGCAGGGCCGGCTCCAGACACCAGCGTAGCAAGCAGGTGCCTGGAGCAGCCAAGGGGAAGGGGCGGCACATCCGGGTCTTCGGTGGCAATTCGGCAGTGTGTCCCTCGATCCCTCTTGGAGGGAAGGACCTGCCGCAGAAGTGCCACCGAAGAAGAAAGCGGCGTGGTGGACCTACCGCCGAAGTGCCGCCAATCACGATCACTTTTTTTTTTCCCCCGGCCGCTCGGGGCGGCAAAAACCCTGGAGCCAGCCCTGTCTGAAGGAGAAGAATATTAGAACTAATACTTTTAATACACCTTTAAAAGTGACCTAAGGTAGCTTGTCTATACATAAATACCATCACAGTCTGATATTTCAGGACATTCCTGGGGTAGATTCAAATATTGTTCATCCCATTGGAAAGCAAAGAAATTCATCTTTTCCAGCGGTAGAAAGCTCCCACTTCTAAACCTACACAGAGTCACTGATTATCAGCTCTCAAACATGTCACTGGTCCAGGACTAACTATCGCCTATCCTGGGCTTCAGATTACAGCAATTTAGGGGGGAAATTCCACATCTTGGGGGAAAAAGAAAGGAAAATTCCTAAGGTGAGGGATATTTGAAGCTACTCAGCGGTAAAGAATGTTATAATAAGTTCCTGGAGATGGATTTATGGATAGAGGACTCACTCACCCCGATGAATTAACTATGCTCATGTGATAGAATAAGAGCTTTAACATGGTCATTTTAGAATTGTAAATGATTGGGGTTAGTGCTGGAATACCTTCTTTGTGAAAAATTAAGCCTTAAGTAAGATTTGTTTTTTTTAATCCAAAGAGAGACAAAGAGCAAGAACACTTACCAGGATGTCCCATTGTCTCTGCTTTCTATGTCTGTAAAGCCAGAGTCCAAAAACATATCTTTGTAGATTCGTCCCACCAGGCAGTACATATCTGAAGCTACCTGAGTTTCATGTTGTACCAGGGGTATCATAATTTCTAAAGCTTTCTGTCTATCTCCGGGTAGATTTCGCCTATTAAAAAAATACACAGATGAATATTTCCACTTAAAACCACTAGAGTAGTAGGGAAGAACTTCCCAAGATTTTCTTACACTGCATTGATAGGCACATACATTTTTGGCTGGCGAAACACATCTCTCAGAACCAGGCTATGGACCTTTTTCCCCTTTAGGGAGGGCCACTTTTTTGTATCATTTTATAAACTCTCTCCAACAACATACCACTTTGATCCAACTATTATTTTATGAGAAAAAACAAAAACAAAAAACAAAAAAACAGCTGCAGTTCTCAGATTGCATGATAAGAAACACTAAGCAAGTGCACGCTCTTTAATGTATTAGGAGGGAAACAATTATTTTTGATTTGTATTGTAAGGTCTCTTGTCCCCCTCTATCTTTCGGGCATAAAATGAATACCCAAAACACATCAAATTCCCAGGAAAATAAAAATAAAAGGACTATGGGATAATATAACTCACAAGAAAAATATTTCCTATGAGTACATACATACTGTGAGCATTAGATACTTCCTGATGACTCATGGTTTGGATACTAATCTTCACTATCAAAGTTTTAAAATTTGTTTAAATATGACTTAATTCTGCAATGAAATAGCAAAATGGTTCATTTCTCAGCACAGAATATTCTCAGTCTTCTTTGGTTTTGCCCATTTGTTTGTTTTTTGGAGAACTGTGTAGATGTCTAGGTTTACATGGTCCAGCCTCAGTGCAGGGAGCTGGACATGACAACCTTTTGAGGTCCCCTCCAGCCCTACATTTCTATGATTCTATGATGCTTCCATTAAAGTCAACTGGCAAAAATCCCATAGGCTTCAATGCGAGCAGGACTGGGACCATCATAAAACAGAACAGGAGTACTTGTGGCACCTTAGAGATTAAGGTGCCACAAGTACTCCTGTTCTTTTTGCGGATACAGGCTAACACGGCTGCTACTCTGAAACCCATCATAAAACGAACTCTACTTAAATGGAGATGTAATAAGGGAATATTCTTGCCTTTGTGAATTGTATCCTGACTTTGAATCTGCATGGTTGGGATTTGCATCAAACATAAGAGATCAATAGAGGGAAGCAGATCATATTTTCAGCTATGTCACAGGTTAATTTTCAACTACAAATGCAACTGAGTCCGAAGAAAAGCATGTGCAGATCAGAACAGTTAGATTGCTTCAGCAGTCTGTTAACTAAAGAATCATGCAATTTTTTAAGGCCTTCACCACTAGGATGGGAGTTTTGCTCAAGTAAGAAATTAGGCCCACAAAGAACACCAAGAAAGAAAAAAGGATTGTGGACTTTCAAGTACAACGGGTCATGTTCATGCAAGCCACATCACTCCCAAGTTTTGCCTTAATATCTAGATAAGGACTTATTGCAAGTGACCTTCAAAATATTATTCTCACATCGGAGAGATATTTCTTAAAAGCCACATATATCACAGAGCTCTGTTTTCTCAATGTTAGAAGTTTAGAGACTAAGAACTTTAGGCTTGTGAACAGAACTTAAAAAAATGGATTGGGTTAGTTCAAAACTAACAAGTTTCTCTCCCTTTAAGCTAATCACTTGAACTCTGTATTTTTAGGATTTTTTTTTAAACCAAAGCAGGTGTTGAATGGCTTCTCAAAACTGCATCAGCTAAATCTGCAAAAACAAAACAAATATAAAAATACATCAACAATCATTTCACACAAGCTCCCTTTCTATAGCAGCTGTGCAAACTCCTGATAAGGTGAGCTAGCCAAAAAGCACATTGTCCCTGCAATGCAAACCACTGACTTGAAGCAACCGTCAAGCTGCTTAGTATAGGATTTGGCACTGGACACCAAATCTGCTTCCTCTATGGTACTCACAAGAGCTCATGAAATGTGGCTGAAAAAGAAAGCTACACCGCAGGATATGTTTAAATTAAATGGAACTAAGTGATCTCTAAGTGTTCGAAGAAGAAAAAAATATCTGCAAAACAATGAACTGCGTTTCAGCAGACACTATATACAACTTTCTGGAGCACATAAGTACAGTCGGCTATACACCACTGTGCACTCAGCCAACCTATACAATTGTATCAACCTGGTAAGAAAGCAAATAAATAAACTCTGATCTGTGCACAGAAACTACACAGATTCTCCACCTCCCAACCACCCCTATTCCAAATTTCAGCCCACCTGTCTCCCCCTTCATTTGGGTCAGCCAGAGTGGTTACACTGCCATAGCTCTATGGCTGTTGTAAACTCCATAAGTGGTTCCAGGATGGAAGAGTGGTTGGTTTCCCTTTTTGTTGTTTTGTGCAGACTCTCCCATCTCTGCTTACTGCTGATGAGCAGTTGGAGGCTCCTGTCTCTGACTGATGGTTTTGGGCAGTCTATGTCTGCATTGCTGTTTTGACCTGTCAGCAGCAGGACTTGACCAATTGTTCAGAGCATTCCTCATCCCATCTTCTCATGATCACCACTGGTGTGAAGAGAAAGGGGGATGTGTTTGGCCACTTCATCACTTTTGGCTGAGCTCCATTATATAACTGTTCATTCTCAGAGAGGCAACTGGGCTGGATAACCCCTCTAGATTTCTCAGTTGCTGGCTATTAGTCTGACCTGGTTGACTGCCTATAACTTGGACTTCATAGGACAATGAGCAAAATCAACAAAGCATGAGAATATTTTGTGATGAGAAATGAACCATTTTATGTTTTCATTGCTCTCCTCAGACAGAGGTCTCCACTGTGTTTTTCCTTTGGTTCTTTCTTCCACTATCCACACCCTCCTAAAAACTTGTTTCTGACTGATTCTGACCAGGAGCTGCTCTACTCCTTCTTAATAGCGACCAACACTTAACACCTCATTTCTAGACTAGACGTGAAGGACGCTGTTTCTTCCACAGTCAACATCATTGCTACTTGCACAAATATTAAGTAACACTTCCAGAAATCTCACAGTCACCACTCAGACTAGGCTTACAAGAGGAAACACCTCATAACATGAATCTCCCTAAAGGGAGAACGTTAACACTGAGCATGAGCAGAACCCTCCTCACTGACTTAAGCACACACCATAAAGCGTGACCATATTCATGGCTACCGCTGATTCCAGTTGAATTTACAATCTGGAGAAAGAAAAAAGGTGAAATTATATCTGAACACTTTTCTAGCTACTGTTCAAAAAGCCTATATGTCAGATACCTTCTAAGGCTCCATCCTGCAATCAGAACTGCAAAGGTAGATCCTAACATCTGTGAGGAGTCCCATTATAGTCAATGGAGCGTGCATGGCCATAAGGGTCTGCCTGAGAGGATTATATTCCAGGTGTTGAGCAAAATTTCCAAAAGCACCTAAGTGACTTAGGAGCCTAAGTATCACATTCAAAAGTGTCTTAGATGCTTTTGAAAATGTTACCTGTAGGGTCTAAATTACTATTATTTATGAAGCACCATAGGTGTCCATAGTGCTTCATGCAGAAAAATTTTAAAGTGGCAGGTACATGCCACCAAAGAGTATGCTGAGGTTCTTTAGTTATCTGCAAAGTACTGTGCATATGTATGGCATGCTATAACTAACATACAGGGCATAGTATATATGCTTGCTGTATGATAGCTAAAAAGGGCCTGGATCTTTTCTTCAGGCTAAATAATACTAGACAGCATTCATTTCCTACAAAAATAATTGTCCCTAATTTTTCAGCTTGTCACCTATAATATCTTCTCACAATTATTTTAATAGATGGACAGTTCTGAATCTCTTTGATGGGGGAATACATGGTGTTCAAAGCTTGTTGCTTTTCTCTGATAATAAAGGCTGATCTTAGCCTTTATTGTTATGAGATTTTCTATATTTCGTGTGAGATATTCAAAAAAAAATGCTCATAGTTGGCCTAACTCTGTTCTCATGGAAGTCAATGGTACGACTCCCACTGACCTGAATGACAGCAGAGCAAGGGAGCAGAGTGCCTTGCTGAGCTCTTTTGAAAATCCCATTTTAATGTCTTGTTCAGTGGCCAGTATTTTTCTGGACTGTCATGCAAAAAATCTTAGTTTCCTGTTTAACCCGTAAAAGCCATATATAGCACAGCAGATGGCACATTATCTATGTACTAGCAAACAGTGCGAGGGAGATGAAAAGAAATTTTTAAAAATGAACTAAAACTTCTGTCTGATGTTTTGCTTTGCTTAAGGTGACAGGAGGGTTTACTTTTTGCACCCCATTAGCATTACTTATCCTTCTGTCCCCTGACATGGGAATAGATAATATTTAGACATGAGGCTGTCTAAACCAGTGGGATTGCTACCATGTTGTACCTCCAGCACCCTGACAAAATTATGCTGCTTATTAATTTGAGTGCATTTTATGGAACATTTACTTGGCCTTTGTCCCACCTCATATTTTCTGTTTGTACAAAATCAGGTGTGGAAAGCAAAGTTAAATGCTGATTTACACACATAGTAAGACAAACTGAACTCCCACCCTGAAGGAGGAAGAATGAAGAAGGGTGAAATGGAATTTGAGGGCACAGAAGGGGAAGGACATTTAGTTGAAAATGAAATTCAGAGAGTCCTGAAAATGGTTCAGTGCAATATATGGGACTAAGATCTGTGTGAGAAGATTCCAGAAGGGGGTCTTGCAATGGGATCACCATGCCCTGTGGAGAGTTTGAAGTAAAACAATAAATCAGATTATTATTTCAGATTTCTCACAGAGGAGAAAAATTATTCTTACCTGTTTAGTGCAAATGCATAATGAAACTTCACATGGTGATGGGAGGCCAAGTCAAAGGTAGGCAGCTTTTCTAAAGTTTCCACCAATTTCACAATGGAATCATAATCCTTCCAAGAGAAGGGGAGAATAATGAAGTTGTAAGTGCTTGCTGCCAGAAATGTCTATATAAACACTGCTTATAAATTATGGATTTGGAATTTCATACAGAGAGATCTATTATGAATTCATAATAGGCTTTATGGATTTCAATTTCTTCAACCTCATGTTATGATTGGTGTCATACCCCACCTCTTATTATAAGGGGACATGGCACTTAATGTGAAAATCAGTAAAGTCATGTCTGCTGAACTACATAAATATGAATTCATATATTCTTCCATGGAACTGGAGCTTTTAGCATTTATGTCCCACTGCTGTGAAATTGGCTTCAGAGGGTGAATCTATATTATCTTTCACATTAAGACAGACATATTATGCGGTTAATTGTGCTTGAATTATAAAGTACCCTCGGGCTCTTAGTGAAGGTTACTGTATAATTGAATGTAATTATTATTTGTCCCTCAATCTTTAAAAAAAGTCTTAATACCCCAGAGGCTCATGAACTTAAGAGATAGTATCACTTCATCTACAGATATACATTTAAAAACCATCATTAACCTATGATCAAGCATATAATTAACTGTAAAGAAGCAACATATATAACACAACAAGCAGTCTGTTATTAACCCCTGCCAAGTGAGTAGATGCACACACTATAACTGCAAAATAAAGCAACAAAGCATCAGTCAAAAAAATGTTTCATTAATTTTAATAGCGTCTATAATGCATGTAACAAAAGCACTGTTTTGTTAATGAACCAGTTGCTTACCACACTCTGTAAAAACACCATATCTTTTACATTGCAGAAGAAGAAGAATTGAAACAACGTATTATTTCTGAACAGCAAGGTCATACCTGAATGTCTCTGTAGGACAGCAGCAAATTTATTATGATGTCCGCAGACAAGAGTTCAATATTATCCACTCGCTGTCGTATCCTTGCCAGCTCTGCAGCTAGCTCTTTGCCTGTGTACAGGTTGCGGGCCTTCCTGATATCATTAAGAATGGACTCCCGGAAATATTGGCTACAATTAAACACATTGTTTTAGACATTTGGGGCAAGGGCCGTCTTATGTTATGCGTTTGTGCAGTACCTTAGTACAGTGGGGCTCTAGCTTATAATTCAATATGAATAAATAAAATAAATATTTTTTTAAAATAGTTAAAATAATAGTTTTAGAATACTTTTAAAAATAGTTACTTTCATTCCATTCAAATTATTCCATGGAAAATGCTATAGAATTTTAATATCTCCTTGAGGAAACCTACCACCAATATCGAAATCATCCGTAAAAATGTGTGTGTTTCATGGGAGGAGATCTTACCTTGAACTGGCCTGTGCCACCTTCAAGAGTTGAATGAAGCGATCCACCAAAGGTAAACATATTGGCCCAAGGAGCAATTCAAAACTGGGCTGCATTAGCTCCGTTAATCCCTTCATAAAACTGCTATCACAGCAGTACACTTTGTTATGTGGGGTTATCATATATGGAACAAATATGTAGTTACCAGTGCACATCTGTGAAAACACGATGCAATAGTTAAGACAGTTATTTCTATATTTATAGGCCTCAAGTTAGAAATAGTTCATCGCAAAGAGTGAAATCCTGGCCTTATTGAAGTCAATGGGAATTCTGCCATTGACTTCAACTGGGTCAGGATTCTCCTAAATGGTTTAGGATTATGCAATTTAATTTTCAAATGGAAGATGAGACCACCTGAAATATATTCTTTTTGATTTCTGAATTGTTTTCATAAAATGGGTCCTTTTAAGGGCTTCACTCTCACCTTACAATAGTCAGCATATTAACTTATCAGAAAGATTCTTCTAACTACTTTAGTAGTCTGACAGCGTGCCCCATGCATCCCAGACCATCAGCTTAATTCTAAAGTGGAGAGCGAGGTGGATTGTTTTCAAAATGACTTATATTGAAAAGGCAGCAGTATAACCCTCTGAGGACTTGGTACACCGTTTAAGTCAGCCCCATAGATGTTACAAGCCAGGAACATTGTAAGCCATTTGCATTATCTTGAGATAATTATGTGAAGATAACCCTCCTATGGACTGGAAAATTACTAAAATGGTTTAGCACACTAAGCTTTTGACATCAAGAATTAAAATTTCCTTCTGTGTTGCATATTGTATCTACATATATCAATGGATGAAAGCTATTTTTTAATCAGGCTCATCTAAATTTGCCTTCCAAGTTGAGAAGGAGGCTCCTTATAGTAATACTAGTATGCAGAATATGTACTGTATGCCAGGGGTTCTCAACCTTTTTCTTTCTAGGTTCCCCTCAACATGCTATAAAACCTCCAGGACCCAGTGGGGGTGATTGGGGCGGGGGACTCAGAGATCTGGGCCAGGGGGGACCCTTAGGTATAAGCATAATTTGACCTCTATTTTGGGGGGGCAAGAGATGGTGGGGCTCTGGCCCAGATATCACACGGCAGGCCCCAGGGAGGGGGCACAACCTCCACCCCCTGACTCCCCTCAGCAGGCCACCCAGCCTGTCTGGGTTGTGGGGGATGGCAGGCACAACCAAAAATTATAACTCAAAGGTGGGGAGCTCAGCTCAAAACGTTGGAAAACCACTCAGGGTGCAGGGAGGGGGGTATCTAGGGGCTGTGTGTGAGCAGCAGGGGGGTAGCTCAGGGTGCAGGGAGGGGGTAGCTAGGGGCTGTGTGTGGGCAGTGGGTAGCTCAGGTTGCAGAGAGGGGGTAGCGAGGGGCTGTGTGCTGGGAGTGGTGTAGCTCAGGTTGCAGGGCGGGGGTAGTTAGGGGCAGTGTGTGGGCCGGGAGGTAGCCCAGAGTGCAGGGAGAGGGGTAGGGTAGGGGCTGTGTGCTGGGAGGGCTCCCACCGCAATGTCTGCTCCCCGAGGGCTCTGCTGGCCCCGGAACTGGGTCCCCACACCCAGGCAGCTCTTACTGACTGCATGAGCAGTCAATGGGGGGGGCTGGAAGCTGAGGAGCAGCCACAATCCCTGGCACCAGCAGCAGTTGGGGGAATGACACGGCTGCCCACCCCATGGCACCACCAGCCAGAGGAGCAGCTGCCGCACACTGCTTGGCTCCGGCTTCCCACCTATGACCTGGCCAGAGTACAGGGCCGAAGGGAGGCTGGAGGAGAGGAGGAGGTGGGAGGTGGAACTGCCCCCCGGGACTGCCCCTCCCTGGGTAAGGCACTGCAGTTTGGGGGACCAACACCCTTGTGCCCCCCCCCAACTCTGCCATGGTCTCAGGGCTTCTGCCCATGCGATCGCCGGGGCTCGGGGCTTCAGATCGGGGTGGGGGGCCCCTGGGCACCTGGCTTCAGCCCCGCGTCGCTCCCAACTTCAGCCCCCGGGGAGGGGGGCGCCAGGGCTTGGGGAACCTGAGGGGTTTCAGACACAGGGCCTATGGCCCCCCTGAAAGGGCTCACAGACCCCGCAGGGAGCTGCAGACCCCCCAGTTGAGAACTACTGCTGTATGCCACATGCACCAAAGAAACGTGTGAACAGATAAGCATGTTGAATGTCTGCATTTCTGAAAGACCACCCAGGGACTCCAATGGGACCAGGATTTTACTCCAAGTTTGTATTCCTTTAACTAGTGAATTGGACATCAAAGCAGCAGGGCCACCTTTACGAAGTAAACTGCATGGGTTCCTGCAATTTTGTGCCACAAACGCTTTCCAAGGTTTAGTGGCTCACAGGCCAGCCTGCTCTCCTTCTTCAGCAGTGGAAGGAAAGGAGATGTCAGATCACATATGCCCTCTCTGGTAAAATGGGCCCCATGCTGTAGAAGAATGACAAAAGCTCAATTTTCTTGGGTTCATAGATTCCAAGCCCAGAAGAGACCACTGTGATCATCTAGTCTGACCTCCTGTAGAACACAGGCCATGGAACTTCCTCAAAATCATGCCTACAGCAGATCTTTTAGAAAATATCCCATCTTGATTTAAAAATTGCCAGTGATAGAGAATCCACTATGACCCTTGGTACGTTCTTCCAGTGGTAAACTATTCTCTGTTAAAAATTTACACCTTATTTCCAATCTCAATTTTTTAGCTTCAACTTCTAGTCACTGGATCGTGTCATACCTTTCTCTGCTAGATTGAAGACCCTGTTATCAAATATTTGTTCCCCAAGTATTTACAGACTGCAGTCAATGCACCCCTTAACCTTCTCTTTGTTGAGCTAAAAGGATTGAGTAATCCTTGAATAATAGTATATCACTATAAGGCATGTTTTGTAATACTTAAATGCTTCTAGTTGCTCTTCTCTGAACCCTCTCCAATTTATCAACATTCTTCTTGAACTGGGGACACCAGAACTGGACACAATATTCCAGCAATGATCACACGAGTGACCAACACAGAGGTAAAAGAACCTCTCTACTCCTACTCAAGATTCCCCTGTTTATGCATCCAAGGATTGCATTAGCCCTTTTGGCCACAGTGTTGCACTGGGAGCAGATGTTCAGCAGATTATCCTGGGAAGCAGTGACTCTGAAAAAGACATGTTTCTGAACATTAAATTGCTGGTTTTATCTGTATAAATCTGTGCTGTGTGTACATAAACTCTGGTTTGTAAACACAGTTTAGGAAACTATGTTTGAAAATTTAGCCCATTATATTGAGAAATGGCATGAGGCAGATGGTACGATGGTGGATTCTAGAAAACCCTAAGAGAGAGACTGACCAACTAGGTTGGGCTGCTGAAAAAGTATCCAATACCTTACTAGACATTATTATTAGTACTAAGTATTTTCCAGGTGGGGTCCCACTGTGTGAGGCACTGCACAAACACAGTCTGAGGGTACGTCTTCACTACCCGCCGGATCGGCGGGTAGTAATTGATCTATCGGGGATCAATATATCACGTCTCGTTAAGACGCGATATATCGATCCCCAAATGCTCTCCCCGTCGACTCCGGAACTCCACTGGAGCGAGCGACGGTAGCGCAGTCGACGGGGGAGCCGCGGCCGTCGATCCCGCGCCGTGTGGACCCCCAGGTAATTGCTGAAGTTGCATATGTTAGATCGATTCCTCCCCCCCCAGTGTAGACCAGCCCTGAGACAGGCCTTACCCCAAGCACTTTACAATCTAAATAGACCAGAGAGACAAAAGAGGGGAGGGGAAACAGACATACACAGGTGAGTTCAGTGCTGAACCTGGACTACTCCCAGACCAGTAAGCTAACAACCAGACCACACTGCTTTCTAGGATTATTATCTCTATTCAACAAAGAATGAAGGTACAGAGCGCTAAAGTGATTTGCCCAAGGTCACACAAGAAGTCAGTTGCAGAAGCTCTCCCGAATTACAAGCCAATATCTGAACCACATGACCATTCTTACTCTCAACATCCAGCACTGTTCCTTCTGAAAAACAAAATTTAGCAAATAGATTTTTTTCTACTTTTTTGCCGTTCATTTACAATCTTAAACTAAGTGACCTTCTAGGCAGTCTGGAAATATTTAACTTTTTGTCTCAGACTTGCTAAGTACACCTCTACCCCGATATAACGCGACCCAAGATAACACAAATTCGGATATAACGTGGTAAAGCAGCGCTCCGGGGGGGAAGGTGGAGTGGGACTGCGCACTCCAGCGGATCAAAGCAAGTTCAATATAACGCGGTTTCACCTATAACGTGGTAAGATTTTTTGGCTCCCGAGGACAGCGTTATCTCGAGGTAGAGGTGTACAAAGTTTAAATTCACTTAGAGAGAAAATCACACCCAATTCAGATAGCTTGTGCAAGGCCCCTGGCTCCACTTCTGACCCTAACTGAGAGCCTGAGAGGGGTTCTGTGATGTGTAGGGGTCAGGGTGGATAAAAATCAATGATTTTTAAATCGTTTTCTATTTAAATTGGATTTTTTTGATAAAATGCTTTTTGAGGAAACTGTATCTAAAGATAGTTTTAATTAAGATATCTTTGAGCTATAATGTATCTCATCATGGAATAGGGATAATAAATTCTAATTCTATAGTATGAGACAATATATTCATGTAATGTTTAAGAAAAGCTTTGTAAATGAGTTCAAATAGTTCATGGATTATGGACCCAATCTTATGGAATTCCACAGGCTTCTATATAGATTATTTTAGGTTAATCTTTCTATCTATCCAATGGGATTCAGTACTCAGTCTAGAAGATACCATCAGAGATAGTTTTGCAGTTCTCAGACTGTGGATTTATATCTCCAGAGGTAACATTTTTGTTAACAGCAAAAATGTTTTTAAATAAATACATAATATATAGAAGTGACAAGTAATAGACCTCAACTCTATTGTCCCTCTGCAAATTTGTGTACACAGAGTCAATCCCTTACCTCTCTCTAAAAGTGCAAAGTTTCAAAAAGTTCAGTGAATAGAAGATTGTTGGGGGCGGAATAGATCTGGACAAGGAGAAGAAGTCTGGAGATAAATGTGAGAAGCAAGGGAAATATGCTTGTTTTGTTAAAACATTATATGTTTGCTGTTGAAGAAAAAAAATCCAGAATACTTAACGTTGTTGCTTTAGTTAAATAAAA